ACTGTCGCGCTTGTCATTGCGTCACACCTCAACTCGCCTCAAAGCCAACGCTGATTGGACGTTCGTTTATGTGAACGGTTCCAACTTTTCTTCAACGGAGAGTCTCCAGACTGATTTGCGAGTGAAACCTTGAAAGCTCGCGAGATCAGGATGGTCTAACGAGGCTATAATTTTCTTCCCCAGAGAGCAAATTTCAGGAGGATTTCTCAGACAGTTAGGACTTGATTTTAATGAAGAAATGGCATTATAACAGTTCAAGCTTCAAGTTGGTTTTGAAAACACAATCCATTTAACAACATTGTTTTCTCTAAGCAACCTGCAGCATTCATAACTCAGGCTTTGCTTTTATTAGGGATTCCAAGACGATTATGGTGGAAGCAATGAATCACCATTATGTTATGAACAGCTGTAGGAAAGGGTGAGACGCAGTCATGAGTCGGCTAATGAGTTTTATCTGAACCTTCTTTACTTTAAAGTGATTCCAACGAAATTATATTTCTGCATGATAATCTCAAGTTTAAAAATAAAGTAATAATCCATTTTCCTGTAAGAAAAAAAATGAGTCGAGTCCAAATGATTCTGTTCAAATCGGTTCGGTGCCAAGTTGCCTGTAATGTGCTGAGAAGAAAGTGTTTGATCCTTTTTTTTTTTATGCTTCACTTATTTAAATTAACCCTGTTTATTGTTTTCCTGGAGTTTCTCCAGGATTATTCCTGTAAAACACAATAAGAAACATTAATTAATATCAAATCTAAAAATAATTGCTTCGTTTCCCGTTGATGTTCCGTTTGCCCGATGGCAACAGGTCAGAAAGTTCGTGCTCATATCCGTTGTCCATGTTGAGCATCAGGTCCTTTTGCTGGTCAACCGCCTTCAAATTAAAGGGTAACGTTTTCATCAGGAGTAGCTGCACAGTTGGATGGCCCAGCATGATGGAATTAAGAGATGTTAGTCTGCAGGGTGACTGGAGAAAGTTGGATGGCTGCAAACTGTGGTCCAACAGCATTTCATTACCACAGAGGTCAGCGTAACAGGATGGTCATCACTTAGGCAGGACGTTTTGCTGTGTCATGACTGCGAAGGCCTTAAAGCATTGGGGTACGACAGCTTGACTGCAGGAGATGTCAATAATGTCAGGATATGTGGAAGTTGATCAATCGAGCTTGGATCACACATTCCAGGATGTCACTCCGGATCCGTTGGTCCCGTTTAAAGGGTTCAGACAATTGGCTGAATGGATTATAAAAGCTGGCAGGTAGAAGAGCAAAGGAGAGCCAAGGCTTTCCCTCGTAGTTGGATTGTTGAAAAGCCAGAAAAGGCTGCAGGACGTTTTATGCTGAATAAGTACAGGAAGGAAGACAAACGGAGTTTGAATCCAGCGGCTGCATCCTCCGAAGGAAAGATTCATCTGCATATTAGGTCATAGCGTGCCGCTGCGGCCTGTTTAGATTGGAAGACTTCTTGTTGCGTCTG